TTACTGATGGATTTCGGTTTGTCAATGAATCCAAATATCGATATCGGACAAATCGAAGGTGCTTTCATGCAAGGGGTTGGTATGGTCACCGTCGAAGAACTCATCTGGGGTGACGAACAACATAAATGGTTACCTCCGGGTTGTCTGTTTACACAAGGACCCGGTGCATACAAAGTTCCATCATTCAATGATATACCTATTGATTTTCGTATTTCTCTTTTTAAAAATGCACCTAATCCGTTTGCTATTTTCTCATCCAAAGGTGTGAGCGAACCATCGATAACTTTATCAACCACTGTTTTCTTTGCGATCAAGAACGCCATTGGATCCTATCGACGTGATAATAATTTGAATGAATATTTCGTATTGAATAGTCCAGCAACATGTGAAAAAATACGGATGGCATGTGCGGATAGTTTTACGAAGGAAACAATTGGCGAGGAACGGTACGGCACATTTCAAGCGAACGGAAGTTATTAGACTGAACATTTTCTTTTGATTATTTGCACGAGAAATAAACTATTTGTTTCGAATGTGTATACTATCTCACAAGGCAATTGCTCTTGTCATTAAACCGTATGATTACAAAGATAAAGATCGATGCGAAATTCGAGCTTGTATAACCTTCATTTTCTTCTTTTTGCCATTCTATCTGTTCGAAGTCCTCGAAGATGCTCGTTCTCTTGATTGTTCTATTCCTTGCATCCGTTCACTTAGCACATACGTCCAGAGCAGTATTAAAGTTAACATTCGATCCCGATGAAGCATACTATCCGCAAGGCAGTATGATTGAAATTCGTTGTGAAATGCTCAACGCAGATGACACCGACGAATCACCGCAATTGTGGTATGTCGATTCGAAAACTGGTAAAAGCGCCCACATCACTCGAACATTATTGAATAAACCAGTGGAAAATTCACCGGATATATTCAAACGAAACCAAAATGGTCGTTTCGAATATGTGAAACGGAACCATTTACGTATCAGGCATGTTATATTGGATGATACAAGTCGATACGAGTGCAGTTGCCCAGATTGTGAGGAAACATTAGAAAAACACGTAAAAGAATTACATGTTATGAAGTTAGCTGAACCGAAATGGCAGATCGAACCTGACTGGCCGATGCAAGAATATGTGAATTCAAGAATAAAATGTACTGTGGATGATTTTTACCCATATATCAAACACAAAGTCCTTCGGAATCATTACGATATTACCGATGAGGGATACTCGTTGTTATTGAATTCAAAAGCGTACCCACAAAAATTTTCTTGGAAAGCAACTGTTATACCAACAGCTGATTGGCATAATTCAACAATACATTGTGCGGTGACTATAGGTTAGAGTTTTTGAAAAACAACGAAGAATGACATAATTTTGTTTTTTTCTTCATTCGATTAGGTGATTCTGAGCATTGGGCGGTAAAAACGCTCCAAGTTTTATTTGCTCCACGTTTTGACATATGTCTCGAGGAACAAGTTATCAATAAAACGCAACAAAACGCTTCCATTGCCTGCACATATGCAGGAAATCCCAAACCAGAATTCATCTGGTTTCGGAAAACTGATGGGACTCCTCTTGCAGGACACACTGGAATTACTATTAACACTATGGATGACTACCGTGGAAGATATACCGATGTTGTCACATTCGATCGTGATGTGTTAGCAACGGACTATGAGCAATTGTTAGATGATGGTTTTGTTGTAGAATTAAAACATCTTGGTGAAGTTCAAGAAACACGAACGATTTCTATTATCGATAACTTCTATTCAACAAACGCACCAAAATCGTGTGGTTCATCAACAAACACAACTAGAGATTTGTTGTATTTAACTATCTTAGTTTCATTCATAATGATTCAACATATAAACTCTGTCATTTCGTTTTATTAATTATTAAATAATACTAGAAAATATCCGGTCAACACATTTAAACTAAAACATCTAACTTACAAAAGTACATCGACATTCTCACATGATCAGTTGGCGGTGGACACGATTGTTTGAAAAATTAGCAATATGTCAGATTGGAAACGGCAATTCAGAATTTATTTGAAAAGTGAATCCATAGTGATGAGTATTTGTTTGATATAAAAATATGCTCTAGATTTCTTGTAAATAAGAATGAGTAAACAGATCATAATTGATGAAGACAAAAGTATGTCTACTAATAACATGTAAACAACTGCTTTATTCCCGATGCGATACATTTTTACAATATGAATGGATGTTTTACTCTACATGGGAGTGACACTAAATATAGATAATAAGAAAAAAGATGTATTCAAGACGAATCGTTGTTTATTGTAAAGCTTAAATCTACACTGTTCGCTTTTTGTCTGCTTGTTGATGTTGAGTCGTTTTGACCAGTCGACCGAGTTCTTCTCGATATAACCATTCATATGATATTGATATAAGAAACGCACTCTTATGTACCACTGTTTCAGCTCTCTGTGTTTTGAAAAGACTATGATTGCATGATCATCTGGCTCATCAACACATTGTATGATAGCGATAGATCTTAGATATTATTGATAAAGTTTGATATTTTTCTGTAGCGTAATACTGTATGTACTGAGAACTATGAAAGGATGAGGAACATACAGTAGAGATTCGATTTGTTTCGATTCAACACAGGATACACTTATCATATATTTTCTCTTGTGTTATATGTCATCACAGGCATCTTCAAACTAGGATCTAGCATCGCGACCAAAAAAGTTTTTGATTCCAACCGCAAATGGCTGCACTATTTTGTTGATTCGAATATAAGATAATTTATTAAATGTGCATTTTGTAGAAAATCTTTTTCTCTATCGAACTGTATAGGTTAGATCATATTAGAACACTTTCTCTTTGACTAATGCAGCAAAATGATCGGGCGAATTTCGCTTCTGCACAGCTCGCTCAAAACTAACCCTTTGGTTTCTTTTTGACACTGGTCTAAAAGAAAGTTTTATGATATCGTTGAAAGCATACAGCTTGGAAGAGGAAACGGTTCTCTATAAAATACGCATTTAACAGATTATCTAACATTCTAAACAATAAAATGAAGAGTTAAGTGAAGAAAGATGAGTGTTCATGTAAATTTCAAAGCCAAAGGTGTCAAAATGTTTCTAAGTGTGAACTAGAAAGCGTCGCCGCTCCGCACGCTTCCCATTTTTCAGGATGACTATCCAACTTAGTTAAACAATGCCTACTTCAACACTTTCCAACAAAATTATCAATCACTAGAGACGTTATCATACCAAAATCTCGTTCATTTAGTCTACGATCACTACTTTTCTTCTCTGCACTGTTATACTTGAGTGTGAGACACATCCTCTTCTGGTGTCCAATTTGTGATTCGGTACGCTAACAAAAACGAATACTAACAATAATTTATACAAGATTCTTCGCTGCCTGATTTCTATAGTCACACCAACAGAAGCAAAAAAAATCAGAATTGTATTTTGGACTTGTGTTTCGAAGGAAATTCTCCTACTATCACAAATACAAGTTACATTACATTCTGAGAA